GCAGCTGTTCCCATTTTACCGTTTCTGAGACTGGAGTACCTTTTGTCCCTGTTTTGTAGCTTTATGAAAAAAGTTGTTTCTCTTGTGAGCTTGTGATCTTGGGCAAGCGACTGTGTCTCTCTGAGACTTGGTCTTTACAAATTTCTGGAAGTATCTCCTGATCTTCCTGTTCTACCTACTTATTGTTAAGGCAGGGTGAGCCAATTTTTTTTTTTGTAAGCTGTGCAGCAATATAAACATTTAGTGCGCTTGCTAGCTGTTCTTGCATTTGAGTGTTCATGAGAATCATCTGTGGAATGTGTTAAAAATGCAGATTCCTGGCACTCACTTCTAGTGATTTTTATTCTGTGCATCTGGGGAACAGAAACAGGCCATCCTGTATAAAGACAATCATGCCCGTAAGCATTGTAATAAAAACACACAGAAAACGTCTTTAGAGACCAGTTTTCACCTGTTAGATTGGCCAAGTTGAAAACAATAATACTTGGTGTGGGGGAAATGGCTATTCTTGTGGGTCACTGGTGTGAGTATAAACTTGAACTCACCCTTGAGAAGGGCCTTGGAATATGAATTTAAAGACGTGGGAAGTTGTTTGCCTTTGGATCTAGGAGTTTCATTTCTTAAACTTTTGAAATGAAAATCTCACCTGCACAAAAATCTTATGTGCAGAAATATCCATTATATAGTTGTTTATGAAAGGAAATAGATCGCAAACAACTCAGACATCTCATAATAAGGATGTAGTAAATGAAATATGTATGTTCACATAATTAAGATTATGCAGACATTAAAATATAGATGTGAAAATGTATTTTTGTTCACGTGAAAGAGATCTTTGCTATGTGGTTAAGTAAAAAAGGTTTATAAAACATGTATAAAGTGAGCTGATAAAAAATTTGTGTTCATGGGGGTGGGGCATGATTATATGAGGGACTTTTCCTAACAAATGCAATCACTGTAACCTGGGTCTTTGTACCCTCAGTGAACCCCTGCATACTGTGTTCATACATAGAGGTCTAGATAGGTATCTAAAATTGTAAGTGGTTTTCTCTATCCTGGCTGATGGGATTATGTCTTTTTAATTTTTATATAATTTCTTATAAAATAAGAAAATTTGTACATTTTTATAAGTTAAGAAATATGAGAAACTTTTTTACTTTTAAAAGAAAGAATATTTAGTGAACTTACATGATTATTATTGTTCTTTTTATTTTTCTCCCGTATTTGCTATCTCAGTTCCTTCCCACACCTGATTCTCCCTCTGTACATGACAGTTCATTTGGTTTGTTTTCTACCAAGGCTCTTACTGGGAGATTCATTTGCATGTCAGTTGTGATGACACAAGACTTCCTGCCCCATCTCTTATTTATTTATTTATTTATTATTATTATTATTTTTGCAGTTTTTGGCCAGGGTCAGTTTTGAACCCACCACCTCTGGTATATGGGGCCGGCGCCCTACTCCATTGAGCCACAGGCGCCGCCCACCCCATCTCTTATTTCTTCCTCTGTTCAATTCTCATGATGCGTTTGGACACCTTGAAGCCTTTTTAGCCATTTTACATCACTAAATCCTGGCTCCCACAATGTTACTGCGTTCTTTTGCTTGGTTTCCACACATCTTGTTTGCTTTGATTTGTGTTTCCCCGGCTTTAAACCTGTATCTGAAGTTTTTGCTAATGGAATTAGAAATCAGTCCTGTCCTCTTTATTTTCCTGATAGCTTACTGATTATCAGGGAGAGGAAAGCCCTGGAGTCCACTTGCTCTCCTGTCACCAAAGCAAATCACTCCTTGTAGTAGGGGAAGTAAACCTGGGTGTGGGCTGACAGGCTAGATGGAGAATGTTTGTGGGTAGGGCCTGTGCCTGTGCCTCTAGGCGCTTAAAAGTATGACAATCGAGAAACCGTGAAACCTGGGCTTACTCAAGTTAAGAGTGGGTAAATCCGGTTTTAGCCTCTAGTTTACAAACTACATAGAAAAATTGTCTAAATTCTTATTTTAAGTGCTGTTTTCTCATCTGCATGGTATTGAACAAGAGGATATCCAACTCTCAAAATTACCAAAGTTTTCCCTTGGAGCTTAGAAGGTAAACAGATACTTAGAATGTAAATGTACTATTTGAAGGCTCTTGTTTTAATATCATATGTCTTGAAATTAAATAGAATTTCTTAGTTAACTATTTTTGCTAAAGACTTGTGAAAAGATCAAGTTTTGAACTCAGTAGAGATTGCTTTTGTGCTTGTTCTGACAGTGCGTGTGGCACCTGATCGGGGTGAGCCAGTATTACCCTGGCTGATTTCAGAAATTGAGGTCATTCTCAACACTGCCTTCTCTCTTTCCTCTCCACTGGGTCACCAAGTCCTGTCCACTGTGTTTTCAAATTGTATCTCAAATCCGTTTACTTCTGTCCATCTGCACTGGCAACCCTGTGGTTCTAGACTCGGTTTACTTCTGTTCATCTGGCCTAGTAACCCCATCATTCTAGGCAATGCACTGTTGCTATAATGCAAGTCTCCTCATCCATCCTTGGCTCAGCGGACAGAGAACTTTGTTAAAATGTAGGTCTTATCAAAGCACACCCTGTGTAAAGTCCTTCAGTGGTGTCCTCTGGGATATTCCCCAAGCTCCCCATCTGTTATCTTTCCCTACCCTGCTCTGTGCCCCTGGAGGCTATAGACTATCTCCCCAGAGTCCTTTGGCTTTTAGATTTCCATTGAGAATGATATGCTTCCCCTTGCACCCAGAATGAAGGCCAGAGTTCAGGATGTGGGCAGAGATCTACAGGGGGGCTCTGCGCCCTCCGGCTGCTCCACCAGGAGACTCACTCACCTCTTCCCCCACCCTTGGTTCCAATGGTTGCCGTTCAGTTCCTTCCATCTCCCAAGCCCTTCCTACCTCCATGGGTGGGTGTTCTCAATCCTCTTGAGTGGGCGACTTTCCCTCCACCTCCCTTCCGCCTCCCTGGGCTCACCCTTGGTCATCCTTAATGTCCCAATGTGAACGTCACTTCCTCAGGGAAACTTCCCTGATTATGGACTTCCATTTCTCACTGGGTTTTCCTTTTGTGGCAGGTGCTGTGACTATAATAAATATTCATGTAACTATTTGCATAATGTTTCCCTTCTCTCCTTCTCTGTGAGATTCCAAGCTTCATGAGGTCAAAGACATAAAAATCTCTGTTTATCTTTTACATCTCGGCCTCATGAGCAGTGGCTGGTACGTGCAGAGCACTCACTAGTTGCCTGGAGGATGCATTGGGAGAGTGAAGATGGCTTCACAGGTAGTGTTCGGTGATTACCATGGAAATTTTAATGTGTCAGTGTCGAACTGGAGCAGAACTAGAGCTCTAGGATGTGATGAGAACTGAAATCCGGTGGGTGTCTGCATTCTTTCCTGCTGTTTCTCAAGCCCACCCATGCTATATAGGACCCCAAGAACCACATTCGGAAGAAAATAATACAACAAGGTGTTTCCTATCTTTTGATTTTAAAATTAAAAATGTTTACTTGTATGCACATTTTTGACTACATGTGCTCATTATAGCTTTTGTGACTGGTAGTATTGACTTTTTTCTAACCTTACTTACAAGCAAAGTTACATTTAACAAATGGAAATAAGATAGGAAAGCTTTGGTGCCACATTTTGAGTGAAGACAAAAAGTGATATAAGATTTAAAAATAAATAAAACCCTGTATTATAATAATTTTAGTTATTTTACAAATAATGTTCTTTTATTTTAGAAAGAATAACTTTGGTTATTAGCACCCTCATGAAAGTATAACTTTTCAATAAGAAAGTTTGGTTTTGTCACTTTTATGTACGTTAAATATTTTGAAATTTGATCTTCTAGATGTGATGAAAATTTTCTACTATTTCTCCTAAAATATGATATTCTATCAATCTCTCATAGGGTTATAACTCAGTTTTGTTTCATTGATTCATCTTAAAACGTTTGAATTTTATCCTAAGGGGATAAAATTTATTCTCAGTAGCCTTTTTAAAAGGAAGTAAACAGAGAGGTTGTTGAAATACATACGGTATTCTGTAAGTATTTCAAGTTCAAAGAGCTAATTGTAATTTATTTTTAACTTTATAAAGAAATTAAGTCTTTTGGATATTTTGATGGTATTTCTAGTCTAAGGTAAATTTATAGCTATAACATTCTAGAAATAGATGTGTTTAATGGAAATGTTGACAAATCCTTATTTGCAAGCCGTGGATAAGCCACTTAGACTTTTAGTGACCCCCTTTTCAATGTATGGCTATTCGTATTTATTCTTTTTAATTCTAATAATAATCAGTTTTAGATCATCAACAGGCCACTGTATACCCTCTCAGTCGGGTAGGTCACCTTCTGAAGGTACCAGGTCTGGAGGTACTATACTTTGGCACACTGAAGCAAGGGAATGCCTGAGAAGATGATTCTGTCTTGAGCTATTACCTTCTCTACAAGTTAATAGATGACAGAAGTCAGGGCATTTATGTAAATACAACTTGTAGCATTAAGTCATTCTCGGCACTGAAAGGAACGTCATTTGTGTAAGATTCTTATTATGGGGTCTCTCAGTATGGAAACTGCAGAACAAACTCCTGAAAAAGACAATGCCTACTACTCTTTGTGTGTTTGTTTTTGTGTGTGGGTGACCCTGAAATGATTCTACATTTAGTGGAAAGAGCACAGAAGTTTGTTCCTGATTCAAAGAAGAATTTCCTCAATGGTTTGGCTAAGGTGTATGGAAAACTTGAGTCCTTAAAAGAAAAAAGAAAACCCAGTTGATAGTACTTACATAGTATCCACTCTGTAGCTATCAAGATACTACACTTAATACGTTGGTGTGTTTTTAAATGAAAGAAGGAATGATTGTGTGTATAGATATGGATACTGAAATGAAAGAAATTAAGGTGCTGAAGAGCTACATATAGGAAAAAACATCTGTAAGAACTCTAAGAATGTGAAATCTGTAATGTGTGATGTAACACCCTCCACGTATTGAGAGGACATGCACTTTGATGGAACTCAGTACGTCTTAATTTATGCCAGTGGAGTCAGTACAGTTAATACCAGAACAACGAATTCAGAGACATACATGTCAGCATTGGTAGACTTTTACATCTTTGATGAAAGTCTTTTGGAAATGTTAAGAGGTGAGTATGGAAATCTTTTCAAATTTATTTATAAAAAATAAATTTAGATTAGATTATTTTGGTATGTTTATGCATATACATTTGTAAATAGCTGCATGAAAATTCTGCTTCTGAATTGAACTCTACAAATGTGCCTAGAGTACTTGTTCTTAAGGCAGTGTATATATTCTGTAGGGGATAAAATAATGGTACGGTACATGTGCTTTTTAGAAATTTACTACAAATAGGTGAACAAAGCAATCTAGAAGATCTAAAAAAAAAATGTCAAAAAGTTTACTATACAGTAGATAAGACAGATAGTGAAGAGTCCATGCCTTGAAGAGTCATAGGAGATGAGGTCCTGCTGACTCAGTGATCGGGAAGCCTTCACGCAGAGGAAGTATTGGAATGGGCCTGGAAGGGAGAAGATTATTTGTCATGGAAGATGCGGAAGGAGGGACATCCTTACTTCAGAAAATGGCCTGTGATACTGAAATAAGGGATGTTGGCATGCTTGAGAAAGGGAGAGGAGAGGGACAACTGGCATCTAATTAAACTATTTCACACATATTTTTGGTTTGTGCCAATGAATTGGGTAGAGGTTGTCATCATCCATAGCTTTATATGAAAAAAAAAGCTATTCTCTAACTAGGCCGTTGTTGCCATTCTTTGAGTTTCTGAGAAGTTTGTGTCTCTACCACAATGATGATAATCATGCTTTTTACAGGAATGTTTTGACCTAATCATTTTGCACATGTAGCTTGTTACATAGATGTCCTTTGAGCATCCTGCTGGCGTCCATTCACCACACATGTATCCCGCGATGGGAGACGTTGTGTACTGGCACATTTCTTCCTTGTTGGATCTCCAGTGTGTAGAACGGTGCCTGATCTATAGCAGACAGTTAATAAATATTTGGTGAATGTTTTTGGTAGAGATTCTTGCTTGATATTTAATATCAGTTATATTTTGTGTGATGTGCAAATAAAACTGATCATAAATTGTGAACTTGGTAGTAGAAACATTCTTTGCAATCGTATGAGGCATTAATTTTCATATACTGTGCAAGCTGGTTTTCCTTTGAAAGAATTATTGTATTGGAAGATTCCCTTTCCTTGGAATGTACTTGGAATATATTATCTTTAATCATTCTATTGGAAAAAAGTGAAAAGTCCAGAAACTTATTTCGGTCCTATATAGTCCTTATATTCCTATGAATTTTCTAAGCTTATTGCCTAACCCCCCTTCAGTCTGTATATTGAATCAGGAATTTTCTTGTCTATCAATCTATGATACACTTATTTTCAGATAACATTTATTATGTACGGTACAGTGCAGCATTTTCTTTTTCTTCTTAGAAGATTCTCCATAAAGATGAAGAGTTGAGGGCTTGGGGCCTTAGCTCTCTTGCTCAGGAATAAGTAATACTGGGGATTGAATCTAGGAATTCTTCATTTGAGTAGCCTTTCACTTCCAAAAGATGCCATCCAGAGATTTATTGCTTTAATTTTAACAAGTTGGGAAGATTAATACAAGTTTTCAACACTGAGAAAAAGATAAAACACTTGAAATCAAAGAGCATGCCAGAAACTAGCAGCTCTTTGCTCTGTGTCAAGAGAGAAGAATGGTTCTGGAGAGAACTGCCTTTGATAAAATACTGGCAAATTATCAAAATACTACTATGGTAGTATCAATATTATAATCATCTAGGGATTTAAGAAATTCATATGTGTAATGAGATGACACAAGTAATTTGAGAACTCCCTTAAAGAATTACCAAGGAATGATTTTTAACATAAGTGAATTCCTATATTTTCAGGGCGAAAATTTGTTCAGAAGTTCGTCCTTTGAAGAGTCAATGAGAATAGATAGGATTGAAATATATATGTGAGTGTCTTGGTGATTGATTTCTCACGTTAGACTTCCCTAAATACTCAGAGCATTGCCAGCTATTATTGGTAGTTTGCAGCGTAATGTAAACTTTTGCACTTTTGATAACTACGGCATATTATTTCTACTCCAGTGACTTGTTTTTATAGTGAAATCATCTTAGTTACAATGCTAGAGTGCTATAACCATTGACTTTTGCACTTTTGATAACTACGGCATATTATTTCTACTCCAATGACTTGTTTTTATAGTGAAATCATCTTAGTTACAATGCTAGAGTGCTATAACCATTGACTTTGTATATCTAGGCATTATCTCAGAGATACTGGGGCTTGGTTCTAGACCATTGCAGTAAAGTGAATGTTGCAATAAATTAAGTCACACAAATGTTTTGCTTTCCCAGTGCATGTGAAGTTATGTTTATATTAAACTATAGTCTATTAAGTGTCCAATAATAGCATTATGCCTGAAAATGCCAATGCACATGCCTTAATGGAAAAATACTTTATTGCTAAAAATTCTAATGATTGTCTGAGTCTTCCATAAATTGTAATCTTCTTGTTAGTGGAATATCATGCCTTGATGTTGATGGCTGCTGAGTGATCAGGGTGGTGGCTGTTGAAGGTCGGGGTGGTTTTTGCAATTTCTTAACACATTCTTAACACATTCTTAAGACAATGAATGAATTGTCTTAAGACAATGACAATGAATTGTCAATGAATGAATGAATGAATCAATACCACGTCAATTGACTTTTATAAAAGATTTCTCTGTAGCATGAAATGCTGTTTGGTGGCATTTTAACCTTAATAGAACTTTATTTAAAATTGGACTCGATGTTCTCAAATCCTGCCAGTGCTTTTTCAACTAAGTTGATGTGACATTGTAAATCCATAGTTGTCATTTTGACATTGTTCACAGCATCTTAACCAGGAGTGGATTGTATCTAAAAAACAACTTTCTTTGCTCAGACATAAGAAGCCACTCATTTGTTTACCTTTACTCAAAAAATTGAAGCAATTCAGTTCCATCCTCAGGCTCCACTTCCAATTCTAGTTCTCTTGCTCTTTCCACTACACCTGCGGTTCACTTTTGCCTCTGGCGTGCTGAACCCTTAAAAGTCATTGATGAGGGTTGTAATCAGCTTTTTCCAAAGTGCTGTGAATGTTGATATTTTTACCTCTTCGCATGAATCATGAATGTTCTTAATGGTGTCTAGAATGGCCCTTCCTTTCCAGAAGGTTTCAATTGGATTTGCCCAGATCCCTCAGAGGAATCACTGCCCATGGCAACTATGGTCTTACGAAATGTATTTCTTAAATAATAAGGCTTGAAAGCCAAAATTACTGTTTTTTTTTTTTTCATGGGCTGCAGAATGGATGTTGTGTTAGCAGGCATGAAAACAACGTTAACCTCCTTGTACATCTCCATCAGAGCTCTTGGGTCACCTGGTATATTGTCACTGCACAATAATATTTTTAAAAGGTTTTTTTTTTTTTTCCCCGAGCAGCAGGTCTTAAAATACTCAGTAAACTGCTGCAAACAGAGGTGCTGCCATCCAGGCTTTCTTGTTTCATTTATAGAGTACAAGCAGAGTAGATTTTACCATAATTCTTAAGGATTTTTGGAATGGTAAATGGGCATTGGCTGAAAGTCACCTGCTGCATTAGCTCCGAATAAAAGTGTCACCTGTCCTTTGAAGCTTTGAAGTCAGGCACCCACTTCTCTCCAGCTGTGAAAATTCTAGATGGCATCAGGCATCTTCTTCTAAGATAAGACTGTTTCATTTACTGTTGTTTAGTGTAGCCACCTTCATCAAGTATCCTAGCTAGGATAACTTGCTACAGCTTCTAAAGCAGTACTTGTTGCTTTGTTTTGCACTTTTATGTTACGGAGATGGCTTTTTTACCCTTGACCTTGAACCACGTGAACCAATGTCTGCCGGCTTCCATCTTTTCTTCTGCAACTTTGTCACCTCTCTGAGCCTTCATAACAATGAGAAGAATTAGGGCCTTGTACCAGATCAGTCTTTGGCTGCAGAGAATATTGTGGATCATTTGATCTTCTATCTGGATCACTAAAATTCTCTCTCTATTGGCAATAAGGCTGTTTCACTTTCTTGTCATTTTTGTGTTCACTGGAATAGAACCTTTCCTTCTAAAGGAAAATAACTTTTCTTTTGCATTCACATCTTTTTTTTCTGACACAGAGTCTCATTTTATTGCCCTTGGTAGAATGTCATGGTGTCACAGCAACCTCAAACTCTTGGGCTCAAGCGATTCTCTTGTCTCAGCCTCCCAAGTAGCTGAGACTACAGGCATGTGCCACAATGCCTGGCTATTTTTAGAGACGGGGTCTTGCTCTTGCTCAGGCTGGTCTTGAACTTGTGAGCTCAAGCGATCCACCTGCCTCAGCCTCCTAGAGTATAAAGATTACAGGTGTGAGCCACCATGCCTGGCCTGCATTCACATCTTGTTTGGTGCAAGAGGCTTAGTTTTTGGTCTGTCTTGGCATTTGATGTGCCTTCCTCACCAAGCTTAATCATTTCTTGCTTTTGACATAAAGTGAGAGAGACGTGATTCTTCCTTTCATAGGCCATTGTAGGGTTATTCATTGGCTAATTTCAATATAGTTGTGTCTTGGGCAAAAGAGAGGTCAAAGGAGAGGGAGAGAGCTATAGAAACACTTGGTCAGTGGAGCACTCAGAACACACGTATCTGTCGATTAAATTTGTTGTCTTATATGGGTGTGGTTCATGATGCTCCAAGACAATTTCAAAAGTAGCATCAAAGATAACTGATCACAGATCCTTATAACACATATAATAATAATGAGAAAGTATGAAATATTATGAGAATTACCAAACTATGACACATAGATGTGATGTGAGAACATGCTGTTGGAAAAATGGTTCCAGTTAGACTTGCTCAATGCAGGTTACCACAAACCTTCAACTTGCAGAACAATGCAATATCTGTTAAGTATAATAAAGGAAAACACAATAAAAACCTGAACCTTTTTTGGGTGCTGCCTTTATCACGTTATTGTCTTATCACGGTGTGATTTTTCATATATTAGTGTGTTTCTTTAGTTACTCTCTCCTTCATTAGACCATATGCTTCACACAGATC